CCTCCCCACCCCCTCTGCTGGCGGCCACAGGATGGCTGGACCAGAAGGTGCGTGTCTGGCCCGGGATGGGAGCCCCAAGCCAGGGAGGGGCAAAGGCTGGGCCTGAGGCCTGGGCCGGACACTGGGCTGGGACTCGGTTCCCTCTGGAAAGATGAAGAATTGTCTAAGGATGACAACGTGCAGAGAAGGCCTGTCAACTCATCTTCTGCTGACTCTGGGCCCACAGCACCTCTCAAACCCCACAGCCACTCTCACCGCCTAGCCTGTGTCCCCACATCTTCTCTGAGATCTCTCCTCATTCTACTGTACCCCAGGATAAGGACTTAGCCAGAAATAGTGTCCCCTTTCTGTCTGGTGACAGTGCTTCTCTCCCTACCGTTACCTGTGTTCAGGCCCATCCAACCATCTTCGTCCCCAGCCTGACAAACTTTCTCACCCTCTTCGTTGACCCAGGGGACCCTCTGCCTCTCCACCCTACCCCCAACATCTTTTGTCTCCGTTTCCTAGTCATGACAGTCTCTCTGTCCCCTCCCACCCCCACACTCCCACCATCCTCCCAACCATCCCAGCACCCTCCTTCCTAATCTTGGGAGGCATCTTGTCTGGCTGAACTGGAGAATTCCGGGATCTAGGCCATACTCCTTAGCAGACAGCCCCATCCTTGGGAGGAGGAGCAGGAGAGAGCCTGAGGAAGAAAGGGGGTGGGGGGGTTGGTGGGAACAAGGTCAGGCCAGGAGGCCCCTGAGGACAGACTGTGGGGAGACTGGGACTGAGGGGAAAGCACAGGAACTAGAGCCAGGGCCAAAGGAAGAGGGGGGCCAGCGGGAGGTATTTGCGGGGGAGGTTCAGCAGCTGTCTTTCCTAAGACAGGGACACATGGGCCTGGTTATTGCTCTTGTCACATGTGGAGTGGTAGGAGATGGAAGAGGGAGAAAGACAGGGCCGGCAAAGGAGAACATCAGCACAGAGATAATTGGGCTTAGCTGTCAGAGCCACTGGTCCCCAGCAGAGGGGCACCCAAGGCCAGCTTAATCCAGCACACACACCCCTCACCTTCGAGTCCTCTATCCCGGTAACACTGACCCCTGACAGGGTCTTCTCTAATACAGGTAATACCCACATTCCCACTTGCAAAGGTAAAATAAGACATGACCCCCAGGGGGTTATTAGAGAGAAAAGGAGGAAAGCAAGAGCCCTACTGAATTTTAGCAGCAGGTGTGGTATACAGGGAAAAGAAATTTGGACAGCCAGGAGCTGAAAGACCCCCCAGTTTAAACCAGACCTCTGTGTCTCTTCCTCAGGGACCAAAATGTCCTGCCAGATTCCTCCTGGAAAAAAACCTGTTTCCCTCCTGTCTCCTCTCCCAGCCAGTTTCCAGATTTCCCATCTCCTCAGAAAAGAGAGATCCACCTATTCAGATCCTCCCTGTAGTGTGTGTGGGTGGAGGAGCTGGGCTCCGCTAGTGGACCATGGTCCAGGCAGGGGCTCCAGGTCCAGAGTGGGTGGGAGGAGAAGGCGTCACTTCCGGGGGCCATCGCCAGTGTCTGGTGGCTCCCTGCTCTCTGATTGGGCAGAAATAGCCTGGGCAGGCGTGTGACCCCACTGGCGTGGAGGGGCTATGCCCCAACGCCACCTGTCTTCCTACCCATCTGCTCCACAGAGTGTTGCCTGCTCTGCCCCTGGGCCCTGGAGCCCTTCTCCACCCGGTGAGTGGTGAGTGGCGAGCAAGGTTTGGAGTTAAGTGAGGGTAGGAAGGACTGGAAAGAGGAATTGGGCTCTCTGCTGGGGGAGGGGCAGGCAAACTGGAACCTACAGGCACTGACCTTTGTCGAGAAGAGTGTAGACTTCCCAGAATGGGAGGAGCAGGACAGAGCAGGGGTAGGGGGTGGGGTGCTGCTTTCTGAGGGACTGATCACAGACTTGGTGGAATATGGCACAGTCCTGGCTGGCCCAAAGGAAAGAGGACCTAGGCCCAGGGAGAAAATAAGAAAGGAGGTACATTTCAAGCTTAGGGAACACAGATCCAAGCTGGACACAGCTGCAATCCCCATTCTTACCCAGTCATTCCTAGTTAGCTTATGGGGTTCTGAATCCTGGGGCTGGGGAAGCTGGGCCAGGCAAGCCAGGCACAGGGAGATGGTAAGGGGAGGAGGGCTCATGCATGTTGACAGACCTACAGGAAATCCCAATATTGAATCAGGTGCAGGCCTCTTTGCACAACTTGTGAAAGAAGGAGGAAGCTATGTGGGGGGTCCTGCAAAGGAACCGGAAGGGGTCTGTGGCGGGGGCTGGGAGGAAGGTGAGGGCTAGGAGACGGATAAGGTGGGTGTCTAAGACGAGGTAAGCCCTGTAAGGCGGGCATCACCTCACCCAGCAGGTGATCATTCCTGGGCAACTTGCTTCAGGAAGGAAGTCTCAGGACTGTTAGCCCATCTCTTTACCTTGGATAACCCAGTATTTCAGAACTTAAGAGTGCAAAGGAAAACTCCAAGAGACTTTATGTGTTGGGGTAAATAGAAAAAGAATGAGAGGTTAATTTCTCCCACACCACCTTCTCAATCTTTTAATCACCGACCTCTAGAAGTCCAGTTTTATTTTTGCCTCATTCCCCTCTTCAACCCCATTCCCCAATCTACTCCTCAGCATACTTTGCATGTTTGGTACCTCCTCGTCCTGGCCCTATACCCTGTTTCCAAGCTCTTCTCCAATACTTCCATTCTCCATCCCCACCCTAGATTTTCTCCAATGAAACAACCAGGGTTGCTCAGACTTTGAGGAGAATTGAGATGTGTGTGTACATATCCTGTCCTGCCGCTCTTGGCAGGGGGCAGGGCCAGACCTGCCTCAGGAACTAAGGAACCCTGACAGAGGAGACCCTGTATGCTACAGTCACAAGACGATGTGGGAGCACTCCAAGCTTCAGCAGTTCTAGGCTGGTCAGCATCTCACACCTTCCCAGCATCTGTTCCCCGAGCCAGGCAGAGTCTTTTCCTTGAAACTCAATTAAATGTTCCTCATTCCTGTCACTTGCAGGATAGATTCTAGACCCTCTTCCTCGACCCACCTGTGCCCCACCTGTGCCCTACCCTACTCTGCCCAGAAGTGCAAGAGCCCAAGCCGCCTCCATGGCCCCAGGAAGGATTCAGGGGAGAGGCCCCATACAGGGAGCCACTCCAACCAGACAGCCTGGCCAGAATGGAGCTGACTGGTGAGAACAGCCTTGAGAGAACTAGGGCTAAATCAGAACTTGGTGGAGGGGAAAGAGAAAGGAGATGGGGGTGGGGGTGGGGGGTCCCATTTCCCAGGAAGAAGGTCTCTGAGGGGCACATTCCCTGGATTTCAGATCTGGGTCCTAAGTGGGAATTCCTGGGCCACAACCCAACAATAATTTCTTCCTTATCCACCCCTTTCAACCTCACATCTCTTCATTTAAGAATTGCTCCTCATGGTCATACTTCTCCTAACTGCAAGACTAACTCTGTCCAGCCCGGCTCCTCCTGCTTGTGACCCCCGACTCCTAAATAAACTGCTTCGTGACTCCCACGTCCTTCACAGCAGACTGGTGAGAATCCCCAAGCACTCTCCCCTCTATCCACCTACCTAGTGAGATACCCTCACTCCCATCACTTCCTCTCACCCCCTGATCCAATCACCACTCTCCCAGTAGTCTTTGGTAAGACCACCACCCCCTGATCACCACATGTTGACAATGATTGTGGTTTACAATCAAACCCTCTTTTAAAAGCTCTCTTCTGGTTATATTACTCTTAGACGCCTATCCTGGTTATTGGGCCACCATACCCCCCTCTATTTCAGCTCCCTCTCCACCACCCCTCCACCAATCTTTTTCAACAGAGCCAGTGCCCAGACATTAACCCTTTGTCCACACCTGTCCTGCTGCCTGCTGTGGACTTCAGCTTGCGAGAATGGAAAACCCAGACGGTAAGAAAGTCATCCTTTCCCTTGGTTTCCCTAGTCCTGTCTTCATCTGTTTCCGACTGCTTCCCATGGATTCTTCAAAATTCCTGAGCTCCCTAAAAAGATCTCACCTTCAGCTTGGCCATTCTAACCCAATCTACATTCTGCTATGGGGATATCCTCTGGACAAGATGATGGCTTGTGGTCCAGTATGTTAAATAGAGTCAAAGCTGACTACCAATGAAAAGCAAGATAGAAGTCTCTTATGGCCATGCCTTTGACCTATTTCCATTCAATCTTCTTAAGCTGGCATGAAGAAGTAAGATGATCTGCTGTCCTCAGATGACACAAAACTGGAGAGTATAGCTAAAATTAAAAAAAAACAGAATTGAGGTTCAAACTGCTAAAAGGCTAGGTTGAAAACAAGGTGGAATTTAACAGAGATGTATACAAAATTCAACATATAAAGTAACTGAATAAAGTCCTACTCCAGCTTTCAGGCCACAGTGCTCCTGCTTCCCTCATATAAACTTCTAGCCCCAGTACTTACTATGAAAAATATCTGGGAGGGTTAAATTGATCCCCAAATTAGCATTGTAATGACATTATCGAAGCAGCTACTTAAAAAGCTAGGGATTCTAAGTAGCTTTAGATGTTTAACATCCACATTACAGAAACATTCCTGTAAAACTATTCCAAGTGGACTGCACTTAAAGTACTGTGCTGAGTACTAGCCAGCCTCTTTTAGACACATGCTTATTTCTTCAGAGGAACTGTATTAAACTAGCATGTTTCCAAAAGGAGGAAGCAACCTGAACAGTAAGAGATTAGAAAATACGTTATGTGAGGAACAGTTGAAAAAATAATGCAGCTTGTGTGATTAGCTTGGAGAAGAGGGGCAGTCTTGTGGTAGAGCATGAAGTGCTTTAGTCTGACACTCAGAAAACCTCCTGGGAGGGAGCGCTCCTTGGAAAGCCAGCTCTTCTACCCGCAAGATCCCTAGAATTCCCTGTCTGCCCTCAGGTCTTCTGGGGTCCTGGGTTAGGAAAGAAGGGCAATTGCTAGGGATCTCTTATAGTTCCAGCTCCAACATTTATCAGTAAGCCTGCCATCCCTTTATCTTTATAATCTTTATGATGGTCTCAACTCTACATTGAGTTTTTAAAAAATCATATGACCCTAAGATTTTGTAGCAGATAGAGTAGATTTGCAGCACTAGAACCAGGAGTTAAAAGCTACAATGGGACAGATTTCAGCACAATGTGAGGGGGGATAAAAGCTTTTCTGACTGGAATGAAGTGTAAGACCAGGCTGGGTTACTGGACACTGGAGTTATTCAAGCAGAGGCTGATGACCAATTGTCGGGAGACTGTGAAGGAATTCCTGTGCTGGGTGGGACCTTGGTCCTGTCCAATTCTCAGCTCCTATGATTCATTCTGCTGGCTACTCCTACAGGCTCCCCACCCACTATTAGCATACCCTTTGAAGCTGTCTGCTTCTCTCCTCCATCTCTTTCCAGGAGCAGACCAAGGCACAGGACGTTCTGGGAGCAGCGACCCTTCTGCTGGAGGCAGTGATGGCAGCACGGGGACAACTGGGACCCAGCTGCCTCTCATCCCTTCTGGTGCACCTTTCTGGACAGGTCCGCCTCCTCCTTGGGGCCCTACAGGGCCTCCTTGGAACCCAGGTAAGTCCCAGTCAAGGCAACTACAGAAACTGTCTTTCTTTTCTGACTCCCCTTAGAAGATCTGAGGGAAGAAAGGGGAATTCTAGAAATCTTGAGGGTGGAAGAGCTGACCTGCTAAGGGGTGCTCCCTCCCAGCCACAAAGCCTGGGTGCTGGCACCTTATCTTTCCCACATAGACCAGGAGGCATGATGTCTGGTGCAGGTCTCTGGCCTCAGGCCCATCCTCTGCCCTCAGCTTCCTCCACAGGGCAGGACCACAGCTCACAAGGATCCCAGTGCCATCTTCCTGAGCTTCCAACAACTGCTCCGAGGAAAGGTGCGTTTCCTGCTGCTTGTAATGGGGCCCACCCTCTGTGCCAAGCGGGCCCCACCCACCACAGCTGTTCTGAGCAGCACCTCTCCATTCCTCACCCCGAACAAGCTCCCAAACAGGACTTTTGGATTGCTGGAGACAAACTCCAGTGTCTCAGCCAGAACTACTGGCTCTGGACTTCTGAAGAGGCTGCAGGGATTCATAGCCAAGATTCCCAGTCTACTAAACCAAACATCCAGGTCTTCAGGCCAAATCCCTGGACACCTAAACAAGACACACAGACCCTTGAATGGGATTCATGGACTCTTTCCTGGACCCTCCTCCAGGGCCCTAGGAGCCCCGGGAATTCCTCTAGGAACTTCAGACATGGGCTCCCCACCACCCTACCTCCAGCCTGGAGATTCTCCTTCCCCAGCCCATCCTCCTCCTGGACAATACACCCTCTTCTCTCCTTCACCCCCCTTACCCATCCCCATGGTCCAGCTCCAACCCCTCCTTCCTGACCCCTCTGCTATCACACCCAACTCTACCAGTCCTCTTCTAGTTGCAGCCCACCCTCACTTCCAGAATCTGTCTCAGGGAGAGTAAGGTACTCAGGCAATGCCAAGCTCAGCATTGTCTCCCACATACAATCCCCTTACTCAGAGGAGAGGCCCTGGGACACAACTGCAGCTAGACAGGCATACCTCATTTTATGGCGCTTCATTTTATTGTGCTTTACAGATACTGCATTTTTTACAAATTGAAGGTTTGTGGCAACCTTGTGTTGTCGGATGATGGTTAGCATTTTTTAGCAATAAAGTATTTTTTAATGAAGGTATATACATTGCTTTTTTAGACATGCTATTGCACTCTTAATAGACTACAGCATCGTGTAAACATAACTTTTATATGCACTGGAAAACCAAAAAGATTCCTGTGACTCGCTTTATTGTGATATTCACTTTATTCCAATGGTCTGGAACCAAACCCACAATATCTCCGAGGTATGCCTGCACCAGATTTCCTGCTTTTGCCTGAAACTGAAGCTCTGGTAAAGGGAGACATGCAAGAGAGAGAAAGTAGAATTTTTTTTACTATATATCATAAAACTTCAGAAGCTATCTTTTTTTAAACTATCAATAGTATCTACCAGGGCAGCCAGTTACCTCTTGTCTATATTCTGCACAAATGTACAACTTACTAGTTCTCTTGTGTTCTTTTTTCATAAAATAATTCTGCAAAGGCCTGGACTAGCCTGGCTTCTGAACAGAGGTAGAGACTGAGCTTCTCTGTCAGAGAAAATGAGTTTTGATTTTCTGCTCTGAACTAAGGTTAGTCTCTTTACTCCTTTTACTATATTGTCCTTAATGGGGTTCTGATCGCTTTTTCTTAGGAGATCCTTACTCTTGAGAAATGAATGAGAAGTTGTATCTGGGAAAGGTTGTCCCTACACAATAGATAAAACTGAGCCTGTGTAAATAAAGAAAAAATGAGAGCACCCAAGAGCTACTTGAATAGCAAGGGGAAGATGTTCTTCTTGTGGGGGCAACAGATCTCCCCCTGCCTGAGGAAAAGCTAACAGGAAACTCTGGAGAGCCTCACACCCCAGGTAAGGCTGTGCAGACAGGTCAGTCAAGACAAGACATGGATGTGACAGCTGAGCAAACAGCCAGCACTGCAGCAGCTCAGCAGGGAGCTGCACCAGGCATGGGTTCCTGCCTCCCTCCTGTGGAGGTCAGGGGGAAGTGCAGGAAGTGGCATGAGTCAGTTTCCTAGGGTTCACACAGCAGGAGGGACAAGTACACGTCAAGTACAAGTTGAAGTCTCATTTCCCAGTTCCTAGATGCACCACATCTAAAAGGCGGCCCTATGTGACCACATAAACTCTGTCAGGGGATCTCTAGAAAAGACACCAGGCTTATGGGGCTTTGCAAACAAATGCCATCTTGGTGCTTAGGAAGAGATCTCTACTGCCCCAAATAAAAACTCTATTGCAAAGTTCAGTGCTACCTCCAGAGGCTCCTGTAGCAAAACTAATGGAAACTTTTTCTTCTCCCACCTCAACTCCCCAAAGGAGAGGAAAAGCTACCATGTAGGAAGAGGAGCCAGGAACCTAGGGTTCCAAACACTGTCACAAATACCCCCAAAATCATTAAAGGCATTCCACAACAGAATGAAAGCCAGTGTGCCAGGAACCTTATGTACATTACCTTTTTTAACACGCACGTCTCTGTAAGGTGGGTACCCTCATCTCTACCTTACAGATGAGAAAATGGACTCAGAGAAGCCAGGCAAGTTCCCAATGGTTTCACAGCCTGTGAGCAGGTAAAGAAACACCCTAGGCTGACTTAGTCTGGAGCCCATACCTCTCCCCAGTGTGGTGCACTGTCCACTATATCAGTTAGTGACTCTATTTATTGGGAAAGATCTCCAAATCCTTAGGAAGCCACACATCAACAGTTAAAAAGAGTTCTGCGTTGAAAACGAAAGCTCTTGGTGCAGGTGACCAATTTGGACATCTCCAGGTGTCCCCCTCTCCCGTCACAGACAGAACAGTTGCCATAGAGAAAAAAAATCAACAAATGCACAAAGCTCAAAAGTGCTGTCCAAATCTCAGGTGGTGTCAGTTTCTGCATGGAAGAGAATCAGTTCATCCACACTACACATTCCAGCATGCACTCAATGGAGTGGCAAGTGGACCTTTTAATTTACTGAAAGACTAAAGACTAAAGTAAGTTATATCTAACAATCAAATGAAATACTTATGGCACCTGAAATCCAGTACCCAGGACGAAATATGTCAAAAGGACCAGAGACACAGAATTAAGGGCTCTCAGCACAGTCAGATGAGAGGCAAAAACTGCAAGAACTATGTGGCCAGAAAGTTCCAGGCATCCAGTACTGGCATTTGACTTACCCCAGGGCAAATGCAAATAACTCACAGGCTTCTCCAGTGTGAAGCTGCCCCTATGGAGGACCTAACCCGTTCCCAAATCATTCTGTCTGGCTGACTGTGTCCCTTCTTCCCTTTATAGAAATGACAAAAACTGTTACAAGAACACTCTTATCTCTATTCAACTGTATGTCAGTTCTCTTCCTTCTGTCACCCGGGGCAGCAAGACAGTCTGCTCTGCCACTCCTCAAACTATTATTGGTAATTAGGTTCACTCTAACCTAAATCTATTCTTCTCCAACCCCTGCAAAAAAATCTGATGGCAGGGAAAGGTTCTAGGATTCCATAAAAATTCATCCCCACCCCCACTTCATCTCCTATTTCCCTCTCCCATCACCCCCACCCCATAGTAAAGCAAAAGAAACACCTTTTCCTCCCCCCTGCAGAGGCCATTCCTTTTCAACCCATTTCCCTAAATACTATTTCTAACACCTCATGTAAAGACCTGAAAATGATAGGGAAGGAAATACCCCAGGCATCCCAGCAGGAGGACCAGCTCCCATGGCAAAACCAGGAGAGCAAAAAAGACAGCTGCTTAATACACACTCACAATCTTTCTAGATTGTTACCCTGGGCTTCCCTTGTAAGCACCACCATTTCCTCAACTTTGTTCTCCCCCCACTTTTAAATTAGTGACTGCAGTCAGGCTGTTGTATTGTCCTGGGCACTGGCACTGGACTGCCAACCTCATTGGTATTGCTGCCCTGTCCACTTCAGTGGTCTGCACGGCAGCTCCCCATTCAGTGTCACTGGTAAAAACCACCACCACTTATCCTCCCTCCAGGTCAGCACCAGAACGTAGAGCAGAGAGCTAGCTCCTCCACCTGCTTCCATAACCACCAAATTGCTCTTCCTCTCCTCTTCAGAGTCATGTCCCATGCCTGAGTCTAAAAGCCTCAACCCAAAGCTTCCATAAAAATAATGAACATTTCCAGGCTATGCAAGTGACTCATTCAAGTCAACGTGCTCTGACTTCCTAAGCAACGGAAAGGGTTGGAAGGACACAGCAGGGCTCCTTGCCTATTCAAAATTCTATGCCAAATGGGTGGTATCTTCCAGGCCTGGGGTGCCCTCAGGAGACAAAAGTACAATACTCTCTCCTAGATAGAAAATCACATCGGAGGACAGATGCTGGGGGTAGTCAGCCAGCAGGCTGAGACAACCCTCAACCCAGAAGCAAGAGGTTGGGATAGATCCTACCTGACATGTGAACATCTGGCGGTGGGCCAGAAACATGATGTACCATACACAAACTAGAAAAAATGATTTTAAAGTAAATGGAAAAAAATTTTTAAAAAGGAAGGGGAAAGAGTCTGAGAAAGTAAAGTTTAATTTTAAAAAGCATCCACATGAAACAACTTCTGATTCCTTTTAAGCTCTCCCATTGAGTCTTTCACAGGCAAGTCGGTTTCCCATTGAGTCCAGACCTCCTAAAGATGCAGCCACAGTGGACAGAAAACAGGTAAACAAGAGCAACTGCTCCTTGGGCTTGAACGAATATCCATGACCTGAGTGACTGAGCAGCAAGGTTGGCTTCCCGGGTGGTTCAAAATGCCAGTTTCTTCATCAGCAGATAAACTCTGGAATCCACTTCAAATCCATGCAGGTTGTTGGCATCACCCTGCAGCCTCATGAGCAGGCCCCCATAGGACACGTAGGCAGAGCTGAAACAGAACACCCAGTCCCATGAGTCTGAGGTCCAGAGCAATTGCTACTCTACTCAACAGTTCTCCACCTTAGCCTAAGAAAAAGAGGCACCCTCATAAAGTTTTGTCATCAAGAAGCAAAATTCAGACAAAGATGAATGCACAGACATGTGCAAGGCAGTGTTCTTTATATCAGCAAAGGTGGAAAATACTCCATGCCCAGAATAAGGGACATGGTCAAATCAATTACAATATGTCCATTTCCTGGAATGTTACACAGCTATCAAAATGTTTAGGAAAAGCTTTAAACTGACTTGAGGAAACACGTTTTACATAACATTAAGCAAAAAGAACAGAACAAAACATTGTAATAAACAACATGATCTAACAGAAAAAAAGTACACAGGAAAAAAATCCTAGAACATTCAAGAATGTTTATGTGAAAGATTCCCTCTGGGTATAGAATTATAGGTGACTTTTTTCCTTCTTCAAGTTACTTCTCTGCTTTTCAAATTTCTTACAAAGGGCACATATTGTTTTAATAAGATTTTAAAGAAAAGAAAAAAATAGTTGAGCAGGGAAACCAAAGAACTGGGGATTGGATTGCAGAGTAGCAAAACACACACACACACACACACACACACACACACACACACACACTCACACACTCACACACACAAAAACAAAAAAGCCTAGCAGTTTAATCACTTACGCTGCATTTAGTTCTTGGAGAAGTAACTTTCCTTTGCATTTCACACAGCAAGACGTTTCAGTTCTGACAGACGACAAAGTGAGGAGCCTACACTTCAGACTGGAAACTGTTCCCAAAACAGTTTCTTTCTGGGTCCTGCCTAGGTCTGAGATGCTTGGGTAGAGAGAGACCCAATACAGGAAGCCTGAGCAAGGCCCATATTTTTAGAGCTCAGTCCAAATTCTCACAAAAGAGAAGGGGGAAAGGGTTCTCACAAGACCATGGAACTTACAGGCGTGTTGCTGCTTCGGTAGAAGTTTCATCTCCCTCAATCCTATACACTTTCCCATACATTACGTACTCAAACTGGTCAGCCCTGTGAAACAATAGTGGCAGTTATTCTCAAAAGCAGTTAACAAAAAGAGGTCCTTTAAAATGGTAACTGGTAGGTAAGTGCCAACATCATAACAACAGGCACTTTCCAAATGATGTCATTCACTCCTCACAGCAACCCTGTGAGCTAGGTATGACCATCTGTATTCTACTGATGAGGAAACTAATTCAAAAAGGTTAAAGTTATTCAACAAGTAAGTGGTACAGCCAAGATATGAACTGAGTGGGGCTCCAAAGCCTTTCCAACACACCAAACTCCCTCCCAAACAACAAACATAGGTCATTCAGTGGTCATTTCCTTAACTATCAAAAAGCTACAACTCAGGGGGGAGCGTATAGCTCAGTGGTAGAGCATGTGCTTAGTATGCACGAGGTCCTGGGCTCAATCCCCAGTACTCCATTAAAAAAATAAATAAACCTTGTTACCACCCCCCACCCCTTAAAAAAAGTTTTCAAAAAATAAATAAATAAAAAGCTACAACTTACACACATGTAATCACTGCTCTGGATAAACACCTGGATATCTGGATTCTTAGGTGCAGCAATTTCCTTAAGGTTACATAGATTCTACTAATAATCATTTATTCTACAAATTAGTAGAGTAAACAAAAAGTAAGGGTCTTTCTATACCACTTATCTACTTAGTCCTCAGGCAAACTTCAAGTACTCCCTTCTCCACTCCCTCACCTGGAAGGCCTATCATCTGTGGGGTTATATTCACCATCATCCAGAGTACCATCTTCATACAAGGTACTGGCTATGACCAACCGGAACTTGTCACCTGAAAATCACGGCAATATCAGAGAGTAAAGAACAGCTGAAACAGTAAAAAGCCTCTCGCTATTGTCTGTGTTCAATACTTACCCAAGTCTACGGGGTAAATCTGAATGTTTACATCTAAGATGAGGTCCATCTTGAAAGATTCGCTCTCACAGTGCAGTCGAGACACTGGAGGGGAACAGGGAAAGAGTGGCAGAGGTAATTGCCTGGCCCAGGGCAGACCCTGCAAACTCACTTTGAGGGACTGTATGCAACGGAATACTCAAATCTAACCCAATCTGCATCCACTGGCTTCTCCTCTGCTCTCACAAAAGTGCAGGCCTAATCAGAATCAAATATGCAAGAAGGAGAGAAAAACTACAGCAAGCAGATAGAATCCCCAGAAAAGATTCAAAGATCCTCTGGCACCAAATACTATCTAGGTTCTAGGCCTGCTGAGGTAATTAAGAAACAACCTGATTTGGGGTCAAGTTACTCATTCATCCAAAGGTTTCATCTTTCAGTGCCAGGCACTGTACTAAGGGGATTATCAAGGTGTATAAGAACTGGTTTTCATCCTAAAAAACATGTCTCCAGACAAAGGAAGAGACACCAAGGACAAACAATTATTGATCAATGTCATAAAAAAGAGGTGTGTATCAAGCCGTCAACTCTTAACTGTAAGGATTTCACAAAGAACCAGATTCTGAGGGCGGATTATTCGCTGTATATAGTCTTGGATGGATTGCTGAGTCTCTCAGAGCAAAATGGGTGAGACACCACCTACCTCATGGAGACTCTTAAGTAAATTACGACAAAGTGTGTGTAAAGTACACAGTACAGCGCCTAGCACAGAGTGGGTAGCGAAGAGAAAGATGCCCATAAGTTCACTAGTGCCTCGAGAAAAGGCCGCCCAGGCATCGGGCACAGCATGTGTGAAGACAGGGAGAGCTCAGAATCTCCGTTTTCACACCTATAAAGTTTCTGGACCTGTAGGGGCAGACCACGTGAGATGGGTGGACCAGAGGCCCAGGGGCGTGGCCCCAAGATTAGCCCCTTACCCCAAACTGCCCCTACATATCTTACTTACCTCGGTCAAACTTCTTGCCCTCTGGATCAATGTCTTTCACATCAAAAATATCCTCAAACAGGATGCCCGCCATGGTGAGGAGTCCACGAGAGTAGAAAAGGCGCTGAGCGCGCGACCACGGCTAGGGGTACGCGCACCCCCTCGCGTGGAGAAAAAGAGCGGAAAAACAGGAAAAGCAGCGCTTGAAGAGCGGCAGCAAAGAATTAGGATGACGCATGCGCACGGACAAGCAGTCACACGGCCACTTCCGCCGCCTGGCTATCGGGGCTTCTTAACTTCCGCCCCGAACTATTGTTTCCAAGAGGCTTTAGCTTTAAGGGCGGGTCTTAGGTCCAGATAACTCCGCCCCAGGGCGGGGACACCATAGGTCCCACCCCCGGCCGAGGTGGCGTGGTGGCACGTTCTCTCCGGAGGCTCTACTGCGCCCTCTTCAGAAGCCGGGTCAGGAAGACTGGAATGCTTGGGGGCCTATCCCAGCCAGGGACCTTGATCTCTGGCCCAGAGAAGCCCAGCCCTGGCCCTACCCTGCCGGTCCGAGCCTGCCGAGGCCACAGTCCGCGCGAAGGGCGAGCGGAGCAGAACCCTGCCCCCGGCAGGGCGCAGTACCCAGCCCCTCCAGCTGGCACCGAGGCCCCCCCAGGCTGGCCAGGGCCGGCTCGGCCCAGCTGGGTGTTACCCGAGCTGGGTCCATCCAGTTTGGGAATTTGCCATGATATTACCATGAGAAAGAGGAAAGCCTGCACTGTCTCCTCCCCTGGTATTGCACCCCCCTCACCCTTGCTCTCCTCCCTCTCACCGCCCCTTCAGCATGGCATTAACCCCTTCACACTGCCCTCCTCAAGCACTGCCTCTTCAGCAAGGTTCTGCCTTTACCCCTACCAGAGCCCTCTCTGGACATTGATCTCCTATGTACCCCTTCATCCTGGCACTGTCCTATCCTACGGATACCACCTCTTCCTTTACATTTCCCCTTCCTCTAGGGTGCTGGTTCTCACATTGCCCCCTTCCTGGTCACTACTTCCTCCTCCTGGGAACCCCTCTGCCTCCCACGTGCCCATTCACCCTGGAACTGCCTCCTTCCCACACTGCCTGTTTCCTGGGCACCGGCCTCTCCCCTGACACTATCTCTGACACTGTCCATCCACCTTGCGCTTACCCCACCCTCTGCTCTATCGTTCTCCCGACCCTGATGGAGAACACAGAGCCCCAGCAGACTGTTCCCCGATGGCGGCTAGATGTCAGCAGCTACTCGGGTTTCTCCTTGGGCCTTGTCAGGGAGAAACGACCTCTGTTCCCCCACGCCCGCCTCCCAGGAGCGGCCTCCTTGGCACCTAGACCTCCCTTCCCTCTGGCCTCACCCCTTCCCGTTACCTCCCCACCTCCACCCACCACCCCGCCCCCGCACACTCTGCCGGCCAGGATGCTCCCTGGGGGAACCGCAAAGAAGGGAAGGAGAAAGGAAGGGGGTGAGAAAGACCGAGGGTCCCAGTTCCAAGCATCCCCTTCTGGGTCTAGCGTCCCCCTCCAAGTCCCTCTAGCTTTGTTTCTCACCCCTCGACGGAGCAGAGGGGTCAGGCCAAGCTGGTCTGGGCCATTGGCCCCGCCGGAGAAGCAAGAGAGGGAGCCACTCCTGAGAGAGAGATTGGGCCCCAAAGTCTGATTGAGACGGCTCTGCAGCCCCCGGGCTCAGGCCTTACTGGGCCCGGCATCTTCAGTCCCCTCCCGCCCAGGCGCAGAGAGCCACAGACCCGGCCTGGCCAGGCCCCTGCACGTGCCGAAGGCCCGCCTCGGCTCTGGCCCCGGACTCCCCTCTTCAATCACCGGCCTCTGCGGAGAGCGGGCGCGGGCTCGCGCGTTCCAAGCGCCCCCTGCTGCCTCTCCGGAGCCTGGGAGGCGGCCCCAACCTGGACCCCGGCCGGGCTGGGCCGGCTCCTGTGGATGGGCCGGCGGGCGGAGCAGCACGGAGGGCACCGCCCTCGGCCCGCCCGCCGAGGAGGGGACGCGAGCGGGAGGCTCCGCCAGCGGCGCCCGCCCGGGGCCCGCCACACTCTGCATTCGGCCCTCCGGGATGCGGGAACGGGACGAGTGTGGGCGCAGGCTCCGCGGGTCGGGAGTCGAGTCCGGGCCAGAGCCCGAGCCGCCGCGGGAGGCCAGAGGGCTGTGAGCGGAGATGGCGGCTGCCGCGGGAGCGGCGGGGGTGGCGGAGGAAGGGATGGAGCCGCGGGCGCTGCAGTACGAGCAGACCCTGGTAAGTGAAGCCGAGCGGAGCCCTGAGGAATGTGCTCCTGGACCGCTGGTCCTGGTTACCCGTAGAAGCGCGAGGTCCTGGGGCCCAGCCTTATCCCACTCCAGCCCTCTAAGCTGGGGAAACTGAGGCTTGAGGGCCTGAGAGGCTGAAGGGCTAAGGGGTGGAAAGCTGCATGCAGGTTTCTGGCCGAGGCTGGGGGCCTGCAGAGGACAAGGACTTCAGGTGCTAGTTCCAGATGTCCTGCCCTTTACCCACCTTCCAACATTTTCTTCGCTCCTCCCCACTACCACCTGGGTCCAAGTCTCAGCACCCCACTACCATTTTCCAGACCACTCTCATCCTTGAACTTTCTGTACACTCCTATCTCCACTATCCAAGACTCCTTCTGTCTCTGCGATGTGCATAGAAGGATGATCAGACCCAAACCCAGCCCTTGCCCTTACTCCTAGGGTCTGGCAACCCAGCATTGACAGGAACCCTTTGGTCAATTCTCTGGGAAAATGTGGCCTGCCACCTTAGGGACAGGAGTTTTATGGAGAATGGGTAAAGCAGGAATGGGTGTGGGAATTGGGACCTTTGTTCATGCTGAGTCTATATAGCCCCTACTCAGCCCAGGACCGTCCCTTAACATCATTAGAAGCAGGGGTCCTGGGGTTCTGAGCTGACTCATGGCCACCACTGTAACTCAGTGTTTGAGAAACTTATTGCTCCTGCTTGTGTCATTGGGGTGGGGGACCCAAAGTCTAGGGAAGGGAGTGGGCCCTGTAGCTCTTTTTTATCAGTGCAGGCTGGAATTTGCCCAGGAAGGAGGCAGGGAAGGAATCTCTTCAGGAGGAGGGGGCCTGGGCTATAACTGAGGCTGGGAGGTGCCCAGTTACAAGATAGTGACTGGATGAAACAGGATGACAAGGAGAGGTGGCAGGGATGGGGGTGGAGCAAGGGTAGAGGGGTAAGCCTTTACATAGGGTGGAAAGTGTCTGTCAATTTACACAGACCAAGAATGGGGCATTGGCCAAGGAAGCCAGGCACCTGGCCTCTGAAATCGTGTCTATCTTTACACCAACCACCTCTCCATCTCCTTTGCCTGGTCTCTATCTCTGGAATGAGTTCTCAGACTCAAGCTCTCTCCCCAGTACTGTCTGCTTCAGCCTCTCCCCCTTGTCCTTCCAATTCCTTTGTCTTTCTCTCACACACTCACCTCCCCCTCCTTCGCTGAGTCTGCCTCTTTATACTCTACTTTCTCTCTTTTCCCCCTCCCTTCTGCCTCTCTGGTCTCCTTTCTCTTCTCTGCCCCTTCCACCGGCCTCTCATCTCCCCCTTCCTCCTGTCTCTGGTTCCCTTTCCTCCCTCTCCTTGCTCTCTATCACTCTCTCTCTCTCTTGTGTCTCTATCTTTCCCTCCCTCTGCCCCCCCACCCCAGCCCCAACAGGAGCCCTTTGTGTCCCGAAGCTCTGCGGGTGGCAGCCGGAATCTACTCCTCCCCACCCCCCAACACACGCCCAGCTTGGCAGGTCTAGCCATGGCTCAGCCACTCTCCCATCCCATCACCCCAGTGTCCACAGTCACAGCCCAGCCATCAGCTTCTGCTGTCCCCCAGCCCGCCACTGGACTCAGGGCAGCTCCAGAGTGGCGCTGAGACCACCAAGCACTCTCCACCCACCCAGAGAGACTTTCCACTCCCAGCTGGGTAGGCAGGCTGGTGGGGGGTGGGGGTGGAGAAAGGGGACAAGGGGATTAGGGTGGGTGGGAGGGGTGCAGCTGAGTCAGTCACAGGCCAGAGGCCCAGCAGGAACGTGATAAGGATTGGGGCCCCGCCTGTTCCTAGGCCCAACGCAGCTGCCCCCAGTTCCCTGAGGCCCTTATTGTTACCCATGTGTCCTTGACCATCCCTTATTCTCTGACCTTCCCTCCTCCCACTTTCAGACTGCCTTAGGTTTTTCCATCTTTTCCTCCTCTGGAGCCTTCCCTCCCACTCCTCTTCAGTTCTCCTCCTACCCAGTACCACCCCAGGCCTGTGAGAAGAGGACCGATTATTCTGCCACCCCCAGAGCTGTGTCCCTGTACCTTGGCTGTTTCCATCACTCCAGCCAGGACAGCCCCCACAGTCTGCAGTGTGCATTGTTCCCACACCCTAAGCCGAAGTGGGGACTGTGGGTTTAAGAAGGGTATAATGTGGGAGCTGGGAGAAGGGGAGTAGAGGCCCCAGGAGCTCTCCCTTACATCCCCACTCAGCCCATGCCTGCTAACCCCCATCTCCTCTATTGCTCAGATGTATGGCCGGTATACTCAGGACCTTGGGGCCTTTGCCAAAGAGGAAGCTGCTCGGATCCGCCTGGGAGGGCCTGAGCCCTGGAGGGGTCCACCTTCCCCTCGGGCTACCCCAGAGCTCCTGGAATATGGACAGAGCCGTTGTGCCCGATGCCACAGTGAGACCTGGGTTGGGGCAGGGAACTTGGCTGTGCTGTGCTGAGGGGATCAGAAACCACTATAGCTGCCCATAGGGAGGGGGACAGAGGGAGGACCACTTCGGTGCCAGCCTCCCCTTTCTTCCCTTCCCTGCTCCCAGTCTGCACCGTACACTGCCATAAGTTCCTAGTGTCCAGGGTTGGTGAAGACTGGATCTTCCTGGTCCTGCTGGGGCTCGTCATGGCATTGGTCAGCTGGGCCATGGACTATGCCATCGCTGCCTGCCTGCAGGGTGAGGACAAGGGCTGGCGGGGGAGTGCTGGGAAGAACCCACCTGCTTCCTCCGTGCCACACTTGTCCAAGTATCTTGGCCACTGGCCACTCCCTCTGGACAGCCTTACTGCCCCGTCTTCAGGCATAATCATTGCCACTCCCATAGGCCACAACTTCTTCCTTCCCTTGTCCAACTGACCCTCTTACCTATAGTGATCTTTGTCCCAGTGAATGTCCCCAGCCTCCTCTCTACCCCTTGTGCCCGGGTTCCGTGTGGTATTCCCTGGGACAGCTTGTCACATCAGTACCTCAGTGGCCAGGCAGGGACTGGGTATGCACATCGGAGCTCCAGTAGCACATCCTCTCCCCACAGCTCAGCAGTGGATGTCCCGGGGCTTGAACACTAGCCTCTTGCTCCAGTACCTGGCCTGGGTCACCTACCCCGTCGTCCTCATCACTTTCTCAGCTGGATTCACACAGATCCTGGCTCCTCAGGCTGTCGGTACAGTAGGAGAGAAAGCGAGGGCGAGATGGGACCTCCTGAAATGGGCATATCAAGTGACTCTCCTAGGACTGTACCCTCTCCAGGGTCCGGCATCCCCGAGATGAAGACCATCTTGCGGGGAGTGGTGCTGAAGGAATACCTCACCCTCAAAACCTTTGTAGCTAAGGTCATCGGGCTGACCTGTGCCCTCGGCAGCGGGATGCCCCTTGGCAAGGAGGTGAGTGTAGATTGGGAAACAAGGGAGCCCCCCCAAAGGAGGAGGAAGCCAGACCAAGATCAGGGGGTGCCCCTTCCACACTCACCACCTGCCCGCACCCCCTAGGGCCCTTTTGTGCATATTGCAAGCATGTGTGCCGCCCTCCTCAGCAAGTTCCTCTCCCTATTTGGGGGCATCTATGAGGTAAGGGGGACCCTGGGAGGAGGCAGAGGGAAGGATGGGCTGCTGAGCCCACACTGACTCCCCTTTCTACCATTCTCACCAGAATGAATCCCGGAACACAGAGATGCTGGCTGCCGCCTGTGCTGTGGGAGTGGGCTGCTGCTTTGCAGCACCCATTGGGGGTAGGCAGTCAGGCCAGCCCAGCCCTGCCCTTGGCCTTGCCTCCTTTGCCCCTCTCATCTGCATCTGCAACCTTAGGCCAGGCCACGGCCTCAAGTGGTGCTCTCCTTGCACCGCAGGTGTGCTGTTCAGCATCGAGGTCACCTCCACCTTCTTCGCAGTGCGAAACTACTGGCGGGGCTTCTTTGCTGCCACCTTCAGTGCCTTCATCTTCCGCGTCTTGGCAGTCTGGAACCGCGATGAAGGTGAGGGGACCTGAGGCATGAGGGGAGCCCCCGAGATGGCTGGGGTTTGGAGACTCTCGTGGCTGCACCCACCT